GAACATGTTCACAATTAATTTAGAAGATGGGCGCGAAGCGCCCTAAAAGCCTAGAAAGAAGGGCGCGAAGCGCCTTGAATTTCTAGTATATATATTTTTCTATTTAAAGATCTTAATTTGACAGATTTTATTCCGATACGCCCGCAACATGATACGCCGGGAACATGATACGCACGGAACATGATACGCCCGCAACATGATACGCCGGGAACATGATAAGCCCAGAACATGATATGCCTGGAACATGATACGTCTGGAACATGATACACCCGGAACATGATAAGCCCGGAACATGATAAGCCCAGAACATGATAAGCCTGGAACATGATATGCCTGGAACATGATACGCCCGGAACATGATGAGCCCGGAACATGATACGCCCGGAAAATGATACCCCCGGAACATGATACACCCAGAACATGATAAGCCCGGAACATGCTACACCCGGAACATGATACGCCCGGAACATGACACACCCAGAACATGATACGCCCAGAACATGATACGCCCGGAACATGATACGCCCGGAACATGAAACGCCCGGAAAATGATACGCCCGGAACATGATAAGCCTGGAACATGATACGCCCAGAACATGATACGCCCGGAACATGATAAGCCCAGAACATAATAAGCCCGGAACATGATACGCCCAGAACATGATAAGCCCGGAACATGATAAGCCCGGAACATGATACGCCCAGAACATGATACGCCCGGAACATGATAAGCCCGGAACATGATAAGTCCAGAACAGGATAAGCCTGGAACATGATAACCCGGAACATGATACGCCCGGAACATGATACGCCTGGAACATGATACGCCCTGAACATGATACGCCCAGAACATGATAAGCCCGAAACATGAAAAGCCCGGAACATGATACGCCCGGAACATGATACGCCCAGAACATGATACGCCCGGAACATGATAAGCCCGGAACATGATAAGTCCAGAACAGGATAAGCCTGGAACATGATACGCCCGGAACATGATACGCGTGGAACATGATACGCAAAGACCGGAACATGATATGCCTGGAACATTATACGCCCGGAATATGATGCGCCCGGAACATGATAAGCCCGGAACATGATAAGCCCGGAACATGATACGCCCGGAACATGCCTTTTATATCTAGTTATTTCGCTTGAATTTTCCTAATTTCCTTTGTAATATTGTAATTTATGCTTTTCAGATTAAATATTATAAATTTGACATTATTTGACAGAGACATATTGTATCTAATTAAATTTATTTTAAATGTTAAAATTTAACACTCTACATAGATTTCCGTTTATAATATCAAATAAGTTAAGTAAACGCATTTATAATGTTTTAAAACAAAAAGCGCAATTTTTGTATTTTTATTTTTTACAAATGTTTTTTATCTTTCTTACTTACAGGTTTTCCAAACATGGGAAGAAAGAGAAAAATTAAATAAGGTCTATCTTTGAATTAAGATAGTTTTTAATAGCCTAATTGTATCCAAAAATAGTTGCAGGTATCATGGGACTTCTAAAATGTGGTCTACCTATTTTTTATTTTTAAAATTGACCGAGATATCGGGTATTTAATATTTAGAGGATAAATTAAAATTGAATTTCTTAATTTTTAAAAAGGAGGGTAACATTTTGAATATTCCAAGACTAGCAGTTTTCTATGTAAATTTAAATTATTGGCTCCGATTGTATTTTCGAGACAACGCCGTGCAGATCAATAACGATCTAAAACAAATTCTATGTTTATCAGGACATCCTGTAATGTACTGCAACCCAAGGTACTAATGCAAGGAAAGTTAATTGCGGTTGTGTATACTTTGCGTACATATTGAAACCAGTTCTCTCTGGGCGGAATTTGTAAACAAGACAGATGCATCAGTGTTCGTCTAGTATCCGAGGAGGATTAAAGCATTTAATTTTGATAATTTTGATAATTCACATAATAATTTCCTATGACCAGAATATTTCATAGATTATTTTTGTGAAAATGGATTCCATGTCAGGCTGTGGAATCCGTCTTGTGTTTACTTTTCCGCCCAAAGACAGTACACTGTAGTACAAAAAATGCGTGCACCTCTGAAATAACTTTCCTTGCATTAGTACCTTGCTGCAACCTAACTAATTTCATCATTTTATTTGGTGAGCAGCTGGTTTTAATGAACAACGCTTTGGTTTTTTTTGGTTTTACTCAAGAAAGATGAGAATTTCTAATAAAATCACTTTAAAAAGATTGAAATATTTTTTAAAATCTTTCGGGCTGGACTTCTAAAACAAAATTATAATAGTGCACAAAAGAAGATGCTAGAAAATCTACGATAAAAATTTAATACAATATTCTTGAAGAAAAAGATGAATAAAGTTTTCCGACATCAACTCTTACACCATCCGTCAATAACTAGAACTACAACTGTTAATAGTACAAACAATTTGTATATGCTGGCTTTAAGTATAGAATCTGCATCTGATTTTATGTACACAGCTTGTACAGGTGTCCAGGGTATACCCTCGTTGCAGTACGATTCATCACAGCAGGATATGCAAACCTGAAAATGGAAATAAATTTTTCGACAAACGAATTGAAAATTAATTTTAATAAGAATAACTGATGAACCAGATAATCTGTAAATGTAATAAAAAATGTTTGAAAATGTTTCAAATATTTTCTATCAGTTTGCAGTACGTTGCCGGAACGAATTGATGTCAAAACTACAATTACATAAAAAATAAATAATTTTACAGTTTACAACTATTTATGTAAATAAAAAATTAGTTTCTTATATCCTCTAAGATCGTGTGTAATTTCTATGCTATCTATTTTAATAAATCGGCGTACATATCTGTACAGTATATTTACCTGCAGTTGTTGATCTCTATAACACCCTGTTAACTGTGTACACTCCTGCTTAGTACTGCAGGTTTTACTCACAGAAATAGTTCTAAATGATCAAAAATGTAATAACTTCCGTGAAACTTGTTTTAGTCTTGATAATACAACCCTGCCAGCAAAGATACGGAGTAACTTTAATTTGTAATTTTTCTTTTTATTCCAGAGCTATATTTTAGTCATTATTGTAAACTAAATTGTCCAAATTTTTACCCTGCAGAGCCGGAAAATTAAGAGAGAGTCGTAGAACGAAACTCCCGAACTTCAATGCTTTTGCGTCGATTTAAATTTTTAAAAATATACAAAACAATATTTCTTAACAAAACTATTTGCATCTACAAAACTGCCTGACCCCATTCATGAAACCAGGTTTCCAAAACTGGGTTTCATTTCGATACTCTGTCTTAAGTTTCAGGCTCAGTGTACATTAAACAGTGTACTGTACAGTCAATCTTCCATGTAGCAGGGGAAATATATTCTACTAAGAAAACGTTAAAAACTTATTTTTCTTATGTTTCAAGCACCATTAACTATTTGAGAAAAGTAATAAAATAAACAAAAATCTGTATGAAACAGATAAGTAAATATATTATTCACAGCCACGTACAGGGTGTCCCAATAAACATGGGTATTAAATGACGACTTCTTTGTCGCCTTTGTTTATTATTTCGTAACATAATGTGTAGAAAAACATTTTTTATCAAAAACAAGTAGAAGACATGAGAAGGTAGAAGTTGTTTTAGATTTGTTAAAAAGGGACTGTTATGCGTTTTAATTTGAAGTGGTAGCCGTAGTACATTTTAATTTCCGAGCCGGGTCAACCTTTCCGGTCCCAGTTTGTACTGTAACGCCTGGACATTGGGTAAATAAAGCAGACACTCAACAATGTTGACGCGGTCAGACATTAGGTTGAATGTACTTTTACTGAAGGGTCAGAGGTGCGTGTGTTTACTTAAGGTTAATTAAATTAATGATTTAAAGTTAATGATTTTCTTCTTAATAGGTTTTATCAATTTATAGAACACACCTCAACCACCACAGACACAACACAACAAATAAACTTAGTATCAGCAAAGAAAATATCTATCAAAAATATATATTCATCAAAAAACAAATAAATCAATCTAGTATAAAAATATTTCAACAAACAAATGTACATTTCAACAACAAACATATTCATCAAAAAACAAATATATTTATCCACAAACAAACATATTTATCAACAAATGAATATTTTTATCAACAAACAAATATAAATTTATCCACAAACAAATATATTTATCAACAAACAAATAAACTTATCAACAAACAGATATTTTTATCAACTATAACGAATATATTTATCCACAAACAAATATATTTATCAAAAAACAAATAAACTTATCAACAAACAGATATTTTTATCAACTATAACAAATATATTTATCCACAAACAAATATATTTATCTACAAAGAAATATATTTATCAACTAACAAATATATTTATCAATATATAAATATATTTTGGAATAAAATGTGAAAATTTATCCGACTTTTAATGTAAAGTCCTTAAAAAAATTGAAAAAAGGGCTCTGCTACTCTTGCTATCCCTTTTTTATTGTCTTTGTGCAGATATTTGCTGGAAAAAAATATTTAAAATTTCAGTCCAAGTAGCAGCTGTGGTGATCATAAAGTTTAGATTTTCCAAACTGCAGACGATTTTGTTTTACCTTATAGATTATTAGTAAATGTAATACAATATCTTTTTTTAGCTAGATACACAAAGATTTCATTTGAGCTGGTTTAATACATCTCAACATCTTTATATATAAGTTATCTTAATTCCAAGTTTTTTTCAGAAAAAATCCAATTTTTCGCTAAAAAAATCTTTAATTGATTATTGCCATTATAAAATGCCTTTGACTCAACAGTCTCAAAATAAAAATTGTACTATGTCATACGGCCTGCAGTTGCACATCACCAAAAATAATCAAATTATGGATATATCAAAGGAAAACTAAGATTAATGATCAGAAAAAGGTTTCTAGAGTACCATTGTGAATCGGGTATTGTCATTTTTGCATGGATGGGGTCACTTATACTTACGCTTTAAACATATGTGTCTTCAGCGCTCAGATGATTAATTTTCTCATGAATAGTTCAATCTTAGACTTTATTGGAACACTATAGGGGCAACAATGAACTCTAATTTAACTCTTAAATCTTAGTTTAAAATGTTTGTGCAGAGGATATCGAGTTCAGTTGTTGAAGCTAAGCGCTATCCTCTTCAAAAGTTACGCGCTCTGATAATCAATGTTAAACCCACCAATTAAAGTTATCCTTGCAGGGTAAGACCATCACGAGATTTCGAAGAGGAATTAAATTAATCTGTAGATTAATGATTGATCCCTAGTTTCACAAAACATTAGTTCTGGTCAGTTTGTACCAGTGTGCTGTATTACCTGCCATTAGAAAGATTATGCCTGGACATACAGGCAGGTAGATGAGCTGGACAAGGCCGATCAACTGCTACCTGGTTACACCCAGGGTTACTGGTTCTATTCGAGCAGGTGAAACAGGTTATACCTTAATTAAACTTATTTATGCAAGGGATTTATTACTTCTGAAAGCCCCCTCTTCGGCCCACCTTCCTTCATCTACCACATTATCTCTTAGAAATAATGATTTTTCTACTTCAAAATTTAAGAGAATCCTAAACAAAAAATAAAGCCTTTTAATATTTTTTCCTCCAGTGAGGAGTTATCTTACGTTTTGTTCCTAAAGAAAATAAGATGAATTGTTAAAAACTTTAGTTTCCAATATTTGGTCCAATTAGAAGAAACAAACGTTTTAAAACTAGTTAAAAATGTTTCTATTTACAAGATTCGTTTTTGCGAAACTAAGTGAGGAATAGTTTTCTTTAGTATTTCCTCAAGCTTTGCTTAAAGTGTTTATTAGTGTATATGCGAGAGTTAGACGAACAAACTCTATAAAATATTGAATTTTCGAATCTCCGATTTTCATCTTAAAAGAAGCTTTCATAGAATTCATGTATTTTAAAGAATTTTACAGTTTTTTTCTGAAAGATATTGTTAAAATAGGCATCATATAATGATCCGTCCCATAGGCGCCCAGGAATTTAGTGCTTCCAATGAGACTAGAAGAATGTCGCAGAAATGTGATCAAACCAACCAAAAATGCGGCCAAACTGTTTAAATTTAATAAAATGAAAAATTACCCTGTGAAAAATGCTTCTATTAATCTTGCTTCGTCCATTTAATTAATAAATATTTTCTGAAAGTTTGTTGTCATTTTGTAAAATTTACTTACTGGTTGGAAAACCTTGATCTCTATATCCTGTAGATACGCAGACCAGGTGTAGAAGAATAGTTAGGATAACCTGAACCCGGAGTTCCATGCTCTCGGTTGAACCGACCAACTACGGGTTAGCTGTTGTTTAATTACTGTTTGTTTGTTATCACCCGTTCATACAGAGATTAAAGTGCTTTACTTTTCACTTCTTAACATCTGCATATTTCGAATGCACGGTTTCGCTGTTGATTTAATACTTTTTTGAGAAGCTATGGTGAAAAAAAGAGTTTAACTAGACGTTCTAGTTTAGACATCTTGAGCTAAAAATACAGGGTTTGGCTCATCAAGCAAAGAAACTAGGGCTTATTGATCCGGTTTTAAACCCTTTAGTTTAAAGGATTCAATTCAGATAATTGGGTTTAGCTCATCCTGCTTCAGTACTGCCAACTAGTGTCTAAATAAATATGAAATGAAATGAATTATTAAAAATATATTTATAAATGAAAGGCTTATTTCAGTCCCTAAAGCTTCTTGTACAATTGACCATGGTTTAGAATCTAAAGTATGTTAATGAGAGTATTTATATAGATAGGATATCTTCGTATCTTAAAGCCAAGGGTTTAAGTGAGCTTCAATGTAGAAAAATATCTTTTTAATAAAACTGTGGATATGAACCCTGTTCTATAGTGAACCCTGTTCTTTAGTGAACCCTGTTCTATAGAGAACCCTGTTCTAGAGTGAATCCTGTTCTAGAATAAATCCTGTTCTAGAATGAACCCTGTTCTATAGAAAACCCTGTTCTAGAGTGAATCCTGTTCTAGAACAAACTCTGTTCTAGAGTGAACCCTGTTCTATAGTGAACCCTGTTCTAGAGTGAAACCTGTTCTAGAAAGAACTCTGTTCTAGAGTAAACCCTGATCTACAGTGAACCTTGTTCTATAGTGAACCCTGTTCTAGAGTGAACCCTGTTCTAGAGTGAACCCTGTTCTATAGTGAACCCTGTTCTAGAGTGAATCCTGTTCTAGAAAGAACTCTGTTCTATAGTGAACCCTGTTCTAGAGAGAACCCTGTTCTAGAGTGAACCCTGTTCTAGAGTGAACCCTGTTCTAGAGTGAACCCTGATCTAGAGTGAACCCTGCTCTAGAGTGAACCCTGTTCTATAGTGAACCCTGTTCTAGAGTGAACCCTTGTCTATAGTGAACCCTGTTCTAGAGTGAATCCTGTTCTTGAACAAACTCTGTTCTAGAGTGAACCCTGTTCTATAGTGAACCCTGTTCTAGAGTGAATCCTGTTCTAGAAAGAACTCTGTTCTAGAGTAAACCCTGATCTACAGTGAACCTTGTTCTATACTGAGTTCTGTTCTAGAGTGAACCCTGTTCTAGAGTGAACCCTGGTTTAGAGCGAATCCTGTTCTAGAAAAAAACTCTGTTCTAGAGTAAACCCTGATCTACAGTAAACATTGTTAGATACTGAACTCTTTTCTAGAGTGAACCCTGTTCTAGAGTTAACCCTGTTCTAGAGTGAACCCTGCTCAAGAATGAACCCTGCTCTAGAGATAACCCTGTTCTAGAGTGAACCCTGCTCTAGAGTGAACCCTGTTTTAGAGTGAACCCTGTTTGTGTTTATGTCTGTAAAGTAGGATTAAACTAATCCCTAATCCTGACATCACTTCTTCATATTTTCTCTTTATCTTCCTGCCCAAACTCTGGTATTATAGGGTGTTTGTATGAAAACAAAGTGTTTGTTTGTGATGTCTTTATGCTGTTTGTGGATGATTGTTGTGGAGTGTATCTGTGTTGTGTGGAGTGTATATGTGTAGTGTGGATGTATGTGTGTAGTGTGGAGTGTATATGTGTAGTCTGGAGTGTATATGTGTAGTCTGGAATGTATATGTGTTGTGTGGAGTTTATATGTCTTGTGTGGAGTGTATATGTATTGTGTGGAGTGTTTATGTATAGTATGGAGTGTATATGTGTTGTGTGGAGTGTATATGTGTTGTGTGGAGTTAATATGTGTTGTGTGGAGTGTATATCTATTGTGTGTAGTGTATATGTGTTGTGTGGAGTATATATGTGTTGTGTGGAGTGTATATGTGTTGTGTGGAGTATATATTTGTAGTCTGGAGTGTATATGTTAAGTCTGGAGTGTATATGTGTATTCTGGAGTGTATATGTGTTATGTGGAGTGTATATGTGTTGTGTGGAGTATATATTTGTAGTCTGGAATATATATGTGTAGTCTGGAGTGTATTTGTGTAGTCTGGAGTGTACATGTGTTGTCTGGAGTGTATATGTGTTGTGTGGAGTGTATATGTGTAGTCTGGAGTATATATGTGTTGTGTGGAGTGTATATGTGTAGTCTGGAATGTATATGTGTTGTGTGGAGTGTATATGTTGTGTGTGGAGTGTATATGTGTTGTGTGGAGTGTATATGTGTAGTCTGGAGTGTATATGTGTTGTGTGGAGTATATATGTGTTGTGTGGAGTGTATATGTGTTGTGTGGAGTGTATATGTGTATAGTATGGAGTGTATATGTGTTGTGTGGAGTGTATATGTGTTGTGTGGAGTATATATGTGTTGTGTGGAGTGTATATGTGATTGCATAACTGAGTGAATGATGAATGATTTTATGCTCAATATAGGATGAGTGAATGATGAATGATTGTATACTGAATATGGGATGAGTGAATGATGAATTATTGTATACTGAATGTAGAATGAGTGAATGATAAATTATTTTTGTTGAATATAGCATGAGTGCATGATGAATGATCGTATACTGAATATAGGATGAGTGAATGATGAATGATTTTATGCTCAATATAGGATGAGTGAATGATGAATGATTGTTTACTGAATATAGGATGAGTGAATGATGAATGATTGTATACTGAAAATAGGTTGAGTGAATGATGAATTATTGTTTACTGAATATAGAATGAGTGAACGATGAATGATTGTATGCTGAATATAGGATGAGTGAATGATGAATGATTGTATGCTGAATATAGGATGAGTGAACGATGAATGATTGTATACTGAATATAGAATGAGTGAATGATGAATTATTGTATACTGAATGTAGGATGAGTGAATTATTAATGATTTTTTACTGAATATAGAATGAGTGAATGCTGAATGATTGTATGCTGAATATAGCATGAGGGAATGATGAATGATTGTATACTGAATATAGGATGAGTGAATGATGAATGATTGTATACTGAATGTAGAATGAGTGAATGATGAATGATTGTATGCTGAATATAGGATGAGTGAATGATGAATGATTGTATACTGATGAGGGATGTGTGAGAAAACCGTTTAATGGGTATTATTAACATTTGACATTTGGATCATCCATTGACAATATCCAATCCATGGTCTGGTATAATACTAACACATATATTTACACAATTTCTCTTTTTATTTTTACTCATTCACATTTCCCTTTACTTCCTGTTAATAAAATATTTAAACACAAAAATCACTTCCTCACTTTTTCTCCTTTTTTTGATCGTTTTATTTTCTTTTAGTTTGTTCAAGCACTTTATTTTTATGTCATATTTCGCTTAATAAACCTTTCCGTTCTTCCTGTTAATATCATATCATTAGGTTTCTAAACTTATATTTTCAAATAATTGGAATGATAAACAAGGAGTTTGAATAGATCAAATAAAACAAGTAACAAAGGAAGCCAATAGCTTATCAATAATCACCCCCCCTCCTCAACTCTAACTCCTGATCACGACGTATTATCGTTAATAAATCACCTTTTTGAAGTTTTTAAGTTTCAAGGTAGGTTAATAGATAGATAGAGCTGTGCGACCCTACTGTCCCTTCTGTTTGAGGTCCTGTATGTGACTGAGTAGCTCATATATATACTTGTATATACGCTCAGTGTCTCCCCCTCGTTAATTGGTTCTAAACCTAGCCTGGGAATGAGAAGTACCATCGGACAAACCATCCGGAGAATCTAAACCATCCCAACCCTCCTAATCGCAATCCTAGACCCATGTTTTTTGCATCTTTCTTGACAGTTTTACACCAGTTCCAACTCCTTTAAATTCTTCTTAAATGGATTTTATAAATCTTAAATGTAAACGATTTGTTGTTTCTAATAAAAAAATATCATTTAATTATTAAACTATAAGTGTCAGAAATAAAGGGATAAATATTAAAAAGTTGATGTTTTTCACAGGAAAGAATTGAACACTCGCAACAAACTCTATTTTAATGATCTCTTAATCTTTGCATCCTGATCTGCTGTACACGTTTGATATTTCAAAATTAGATTATCTGTAAAAATATAGTTCATACATTTGAAATATGAAAGGTGAACGTTAGATTGCAAAGATATAAGAATTAGAGAATTACAATTTGAGGCGAGTAATCAGTTCCTTTGACGAGCAAAATCCCCTTGTAATCAGGGTAATCAGGCGTGGTGGAATATTAGTAGAATTATACCTTCTAGAACTGATTTAGTGAAACAGACACGAAATATAAATCCGGAAATAGAAAATACTCCTCAAATTATTAATATATTATACTAGCATGGAAATCCAGCGCTGCCCTGGACTCATAGTCGCTCCCACAGTTTACCCGCACTTGGTAAGTTATGATCGGAAAAACAAACAGACAGGCAAACAGAGATTACATCTTTATATATATATACATAAATATACATATATAGAGTAGTATTCTGTTATATATATACATAAATATACATATATAGAGTAGTATTCTGTTATATATATACATAAATATACATATATAGAGTAGTATTCTGTTATATATATACATAAATATACATATATAGAGTAGTATTCTGTTTGTCTTTTTGTTTGCATGTTGTTTGCATGTCTGATCACAACTCATGAACCCCTAAAACGTGTTGCCTTAAATTTTGATTGATAACTCGGTAGAGCCACGGGAATGTTCGTAGCCTGGTTTAAAAATTATAAGTTGAGTGGGTTGACTCCAACCTTTTCATAAACAATACATTCAAATAAGGGGTTTTAGGACTAAGAAATTGATATTTATTATGTATAAAAATAGCTTGGGGACTTATCCTTGCCTGCAGTTTTCTCTATACAAGTCAAGATCATTCCATCAAATGTCCTTTTTCCCGGATTTATATTTAAAACTTCCTGTGCTGTGACAACGGAGCTAAACAACCTCCGGGAAAAGGCAGATTACATAAAAATCAAAAGTTTGATGAAAAAAGTCCGTTGGGAGCAAATAGATTCTAGTACAATAGATGGCAGTACAGTACAGTACAGCTGTATTCTTAAATTACAATTGTCTTACAGTAAAATAAGTGCAATTTTATGTGTTCTTTATTTTCTGTTCACACACTTTTTTCATTTAATCTTGGGAAACTTGTGAAATAAAAAAATATAGTTCTGAAGCTTTATTCAGTTACAGGGTCTGCAGATAGGACCATAAACAAAATATAATGGAAAAACAAAAGACTTTGAAAGTGACGGAGTACCTTAAAAGAAAAATTCGCAAAAACTTATTGAACATACCTCGTATAACTAACAGAAAACTATAAACAAAACCATTGTTTTTGAAAACCATCGTTTTTAAACAGAAAATAAGAAGTAGTTTTTAAAATTCGTAGTTTTGTCAACGTTAATTCACACTCTACAATTGTAGCTCTAACTGAAACACAAAGTAAAGTAAAGAGGTTCGTTCAAGCGCGGGTAAACGGCGGGAGTAATGAAGAAGAAAATAATGACCTAAACTAAATTTCATTTTACAGCAGAAATAAAAATGAATAAAATTTACTATTAAAAAAATAATTTACAAAAACCATATTTTTTCATTAAAACTAAGATTTAGTCGTGTCGTTTTTAAAACTAGTTATTTACACTATAATGGCGGCTTATGCAATTTTCTTAAAAATAACCCTATTTTCGTATTTTTGGTAACTTTTTAGTAATAAACCTTTAATGGCCGGGGCCGGAGGGGAACACTATAATCCCTCCTTTTTGATTGTTTTTAAAAGAAAATCTAATCTATAGATTCGCTAAACTTTGAGTTATTCAGTGGCAGCGGAGGCAATCGTTCTTTAGAATCCATTCTTAAAAATTTGAATGAAAGGGTTTAGAAGTTACTCCTTCCTAGTTGCGCCGCAACATTTTCGCAGATTTTTCAAGGGACTCTTCTCCCTTCTCCCCCTCCTTTACAGCCACCTCTCCCCAAACCTACATATTCCCCCTTCTCCCCCTCCTTTACAGCCACCTCTCCCCAAACCTACATTAACCAAGATAAGATTAAACTAATCAAAAAACTTCGCCTACCCTGTCCATTTTTATGCAAATGTTATAATTCCTATTCTTGAGAAGATGGTATCCGTTCAAGATGACGGATTCAATGCATCCTGTTTCCTCCGTAAACTACTGCAAACAACCAGCTGGCTCTCTAGCTGAATCTAGAAGTTGTATGACATGAATGCCCCTGTATTTCCGACGTCCAAAAACGTATTTCTTTTTCAAGTATTTCTGATTCAAGAAAATAGTTTAGCTTACTGAATTGCTGGAATGATTTATGAGTACAATCATGCATTTAACAAAATCCGCTATAGCTAGTCACTTTTAAAAAAACCACAGTTTAAAATAATCTGTTTTCAAAGAGAAAAACATGGATGATTAAACAAAGCTTTAAAGGGTACCATAAATTTGACATCACCCTCTATGAATGGAGGTTCATTTGAAATTATTTCTGCAATCCCTTTAAGATTATTATAAGAAAGGCGTAAAAGTCCCTTCGTAAACCGTGTTTTTTCGTGTTCTTTTCTTTTCTCTAACTAAGTAATTAACCAACATGGTAACTTAAAATAAATGGGATACGCCTCATGAACAGACTGTTTCTTTTTTTATTAAAAACATTTTTGTAAACATTGACCTTTTTAGGCTCTAAAAACCTTATGCAGCGACATAAAATTGTGATGAGAGGTCAAAAAAGTTTGATTTGCTGGGACCAAGTTTCTAATGGAAAAAACGTTCGCAAAAAGTTTTAAAAAATATTTTCAAGAAGTATAGTTAATAATCCATGGACTAAAATCTACTATCTATTTGTGTAACTCTATTACTGAAATATATCTGTCCCTAGAGTTACACTGTATTTGTGTAACTCTATTACTGAAATATACCTGTCCCTAGAGTTACACTATATTTGTAAAACTAGCTCTAATACGGAAATATACCTGTCCCTACAGTTACACTCTATTTGTGTAACTCTAATATTGAAATATACTGTCTTTAGAGTTACACTCTATGTGTGTAACTCTAATTTTGATATACACTTGTCCCTAGAGGTACACTGTATTTGTGTAACTCTAGTACTGAAATATATCTGTCCCTAGAGTTACACTCTATTTGTGTAACTCAATACTGAAATATACTGTCTCTAGAGTTACTGCACTCTATTTGTGTAACTCTAGCGCAGAGATAAGAGAGTTACAGAGATCGATTTTTGACAAATTTGACTGAGTATTGCATCTTGAAATATCACAAAGTTGGTTAATGAGTGATTTTAAGATGGATTTAGTATAATGAGTCAGCAATTGTATAATCATTAGACTTTGTGATATTTTAAGATGCAATGCTCAGTCAAATTTGTCAAAAAAATTCATTGTAAAACAGTTTAAGAATTCAACACACAAAATATTAAGTAGAATTGAAAAAAATGGTCTGAGGTGTGCTTTTTTGTGTGACGCGGCTGGATTTTTTAAAATGACACTTTAAAGGCCCTAAATATACCATTTAAAAAATAAGTTTTGCCCGGAAGAGTCAAATGTGGTGGTACGGAAGGGGAAATACTGGTGGCTCATGGCCGCCTGCCTTCCCCCGCTTGTCTGGGAGAGATTGACAATAATTCTTCCATATAAGCAAATTTTATCCAAAAGATAATCTAATTGGATTGTATTCATAATTGGGGTGGGGGGTGGTGGTCGGGGGAAGAGAAATCCCCCCCCCCCTGTGATAAAAGGAAAATTTCAGTTTATTTACACACACCCTTCCCAATATTGAATAGAAAATTCAGTTATATGTACATTGTACGTACATTCTTATAAAGTAAAATGTTTTGAACTTTGAATAAAATATATAAATCTCATTTCAAAAGTATTTTGTGTAAACGAAACTGTTTTTAAAGTTTTACTTTTATCCCTCGGGTTCTGTAAAGGTCTCACAATATATTTTGGCCCAGTCGTTTTATGGAAACATACAAACAGTCAGACAATGAACATATATTGTATTTACATATTTACTTCGCTTTTCTGTTTTTATCCAATTAACGTCAAAACGGCTGAACCGATTGGGCTCTAAATTTTGTTTTTAAAAGAATTCGATTTTTATTAAATTGGGACAATTCACGAGTTTTTGATAAAATCCGCGAACTTTTTTTGTTTTTGTTTTACAATATGCTCAAAGAGAAAATGTTCAAATGCAATAGAAGATGGGCGCGAAGCGCCCTGAAAGCAATACGGAAAATATATTTAGAATTTAGATATGTTAATCTGATCCAATCTTTAAATTTATTTCAGAAGCAAAACTGTGAACAAGAGGTACCAACACCCTTTAGTCCCTATAGGAATTCAATAAGACTTATTAATGCATTATTACAAATTATAATTAGATATTAATATACAACAAGTTTACAAAGTTTTCTCTGATGTTATAACTCAGGTATAATACTAATAATGTATAGTTGTTTATTTACAGATTAATTCACGCAACAAAATAATAAACATTGCCCCCCTTCCATCTTCCTTCCGCTTCCCCTCCTCCCCTTCCTTCTTTCCCTTCCCCCCCCTTCGGCCTTCCCCCTGTATTATATTATACCCTTGTAAACTTGATTTACCGTAGTAACCCCAGTTCTAGGTTTTCCTGGCAGTGGGATGTTATTTAATAATAATACAGTAAGTCAAAGAAAAATATGGTAAAAAGTAGAATAAATAGTAATTCAACAATTTGCGTGAATTTAAAGATATTGAAAAATATTCATAAAATTAACATCAAAATTAGATTTTATAATGATAATTGCTATTTTTATGGTACGTCAGGAAACTGAGTTCTTTTTTAAAACGTGGTAAATAACTATTCATAGTTTAATGGTGCATCAGGAAGCTGATCTCTTATTTAGACCGTGCTAAATATTTAGCTTGATAGGACGTCAGGAAGCACAGTTCTTATTTAAAACGTGCTACATATTAAGTTTAATAGCACGTCAGGAAGCACAGTTCTTACTAAAAACGTTCTTTATCACAATTATTTAATAGGGCGTCTGGAAGCTCATTTTTGATAGAAAACGCGCGGATGAAAGATTTTAATAGCACGTAGAAACTGAGTTCTGATGTAAAACGTACTGAATAAATAGTTTAAAGGACGAAAGGAAACAGAATTCCTTTTTCCAACGTAGTGCTTAAATACATAGTTTAAACAAATCAGGAGTTCTTGTCTGAGACCGTGTTTTTGATGGAACCCCTTCAGAAATTATAATAATAATCGATTTCAATTTCAAGTATTTTGCCGAGAATGTTTCCATGAAAACGTTTCAAAGTTTCTGACTAAGTTGTTATTAAACCTCCAAACATTGCTAAAAATAAAATAGTATAATAAGTGGTGATGGTTTGCAGTAAAACTGCAAACTGCAAAGTTCAGAGAACTTCATTTTCGGCGGCCATACTCACAATTGAATTTCTTGTTTCTTTTTCTCCACTAACATTATATTTGTATAACTTTATGAATTGTTTACTTGTAAATGTTGAATTTACGGAACCTCTTATAAAGTTTTATAAATGCTTTGTTCCTTCATCAAAATATTCCTTAGTCATGATATAACATTTGTAGTGTACGGACTGTATTCAACAACATTGGCAGTATACGGACTGTATTCTACAACATTGGCAGTGAACGGACTGTATTCTACAACATTGGCAGTATATACAGACTGTATTCTACAACATTTGCAGTTTACGGACTGTATTCTACAACATTGGCAGTGAACGGACTGTATTCTACAACATTGGCAGTATATACAGACTGTATTCTACAACATTTGCAGTTTACGGACTGTATTCTACAACATTGGCAGTATACGGACTGTATTCTACAACATTGGCAGTATACGGACTGTATTCTACAACATTGGCAATATACGGACTGTATTCTATAACATTGGCAGTATACTGACTGTATTCTACAACATTGGCAGTATACGGACTGTATTCTACAACATTGGCAGTATACGGACTGTATTCTACAACATTGGCAGTGAACGGACTGTACTCTACAACATTGGCAGTATACGGACTGTATTCTACAACATTGGCAGTATACGGACTGTATTCTACAACATTGGCAGTATACGAACTGTATTTTACAACATTGGCAGTATATACAGACTGTATTCTACAACATTGGCAGTATATACAGACTGTATTCTACAACATTGGCAGTATTCGAACTATATTCTACAACATTGGCAGTATACGGACTGTATTTTACAACATTGGCACTTGGCAGTATACGGTCTATATTTTACAATCATTTATTCACGCAAAGTTTCGTAATTTGCAAATAATTATATTTTCTCCCTATAAAATGTTAAGATGAGTGTGGCTCATGAAAAATAGAGATTAGAGAATCAAGGCCACTGATTTTTTCAGATTTAGGCAAAAATATTTCACGGTTAAAAATGGGGACAAAGAAGAAGGAGAATTTCATAAAAGAGATAAATGATGTGGATGAATGGAATACACTATGTCAACTCCAGGTAGAGTATTTTGGTGAAATTTCCCAAAAGCATTTTCCAAAGGGCGACTTTAAAAGTGACAATTATACAAGTGGCAACTTCCCAAATGTACATTTCCCAATCAGCAACTGAATCGCCGCAGGCTAGAATGGAGGCCGAGCGATAAGGCTAGGATGGGCAAGGTAGCGGAGCTATGCGGCTATAGCAGGCTAGGGGGCCGAACGCTGAGGCTAGGACAGGATTGGGAAGGTGCCACTTGGAAAATTGCACACTTGTGAAGTTGCCACTTGGGAAATTACCCTTGGGAAGTTGGAAAAATATTATTAGGAAGTTGCCACTTAAGAAAACACCCATAAGAAGTTGCGATTTGGATAAAATACCCGATGGGGAAGTTTCCACTTATGGAAAAGGCCTTTATAGGGAAGGTACCAAGCATCAGATATTTTATATTCTGTTTAAATCTACCTAACTTCAACTGGATCTTTGAAAAGCACAACAATACTCATGAAACCTTTGTCTGAGAAGTAATGGTAAAAAGTTCGCTGGTCTGTGCACTGTAAAAATTCACAAGACATTTTCTAAAAATCTACGAACACAAGTTCTCAAATACAGTATAAGGTGCTTGCGGGATTGTAAAACTTTTCTGAAAAAAAGAATACATTAGGTAATTATCGACTGTTAGAAAATCAGTTGAAAGTGTCAATATGTACAAAATGCCTTACTCCAACAATACTATAGTCGGTATCAATCCAGATACAACTCGCTCTCGAACTCTTTACTCTCTACCGAGTATTAACACGTCTGACCGGAATTGAAGAAGAGTTCATATCCAACTGATCTATATTTTGGGTCATAATACAGTTTAATAGTATGGACCGTTAGGTCTGTTCAGAAATTAATGAGCATAGGAATATAAACATATAAATTAGGGCTATTACAATATCTATTGCAAATACATACAAATTAAATGGAAAAGGTCTAAACTTATAAAATTATTTGTTGGTTTTAGATTAATTAAGTTAAAGGGATTGTCTGCATAATTTCAAGTGACCTTTCATGCTGAAATGGCAATGTTCTTTTTACAACCGTACTCTTCAAACCTTAATCTATGATCGAAAATAAAGAAAATACCGTTTTTTTCTTACTCGAAAAGTGTTTTTTTCTGTAAATTTCTCCATTAATTCTTATAAGCAGAGAAACCGCAAAAGAAACTAAATAGTTTAAAGAAACAAAACATGAATATCTGATTTATACTTGATCAGGCATAGGCATCTTTGCAAGATCAGTCACTTGAAATTACACTTAAAGTCTCTAATAGTAGACGAAAAAAATTGCTAAATCTCTGTATCCACTGTCAACACTTTTGATTTTCTGTTTAATCCTCTTTTGGATATCTCTGCTGTCTCTGAACCAATAATGACCCATTCTTATTTTGATTACGCACCAAAATTTTTAAATTTCTCGGCTTCTGATTGGCTGTTCAGTTTCTACAATTGGCATCTGATTGGTTGCAGTTTAGACAATTTCCCTAATATAAACGTAAGATTGAATAAGTATTCTGATTAATAAAAAGAGGAGATCAATCATTGATCTCGATATCAACAATTCTAAAGTTTTCAGCTCTCATGATCCGTAAGATATCTGTGAAACATATTTCTCATTGATCTTTTTATCAACAATTTAATTTTACAATAATATAAATTGTTAAAATATTAATCGTAAAATATTAAATTGTATCAATAATATCACACTTTTGAAATTTACGGTTAAAAAATCGGAATTTCTAAACTTTTTCTGAAATCAACAACGTTGCGGTTTCAAAATGTATAATATTTCTAGGGCTACAAAAAAGTGAGTGTGTAAGCTGGAACACGATATTAATGCATAAATTGCACAGCTGTCTTCATGGATCTCTAAAAACTGATCATATTATCAAGAAAACTTTTTGTATCACTAGGAATGTTTAAAAAATTTTTCTCTGCTGAAAACTACAAATCATTCAATGAATTCAATTATGAAAATGGTTTATTTTTAAATTGTCATTTAAACAAACGTTCTATAATGTTAAAAACACCTTCTGATAAACTTTTACAATTTTCCGTAATTTTGTCGACATTTTGTAAAATTACAAATTGCATGGCTGATTAAAAGAGGCGTTGGGCGGAGGGGGAGGGGGAGGAGATCAAAGGGATTTAAGTATCTCAATAAGGTGAAGGGGGGGTGGTTACTATTACAATGCATACAAACATTCATACCCGTAAAATTTAATCATCTAGAAGTTTTGAATTTAGATTCTCCTGATATTTGCAATTTTTAAGTTTTAATCCCCCTCCCTTGGTTGAAAATGCATATCCTCGGGGGTAATAGGTATTTATTAAGGAAATTAAGGTAGTGTCTGCCTAGAGAAGCCCCCTTAACACTGAATATGCATTATGAATATGCATTATTATAAGGGCCACAAGAAGACAGTGAAGGCCCATTTTATAGTTATTGAGAATAATAAAAACGTTTTAAATTTCGATTCACCGACATAGGGTCAAATGCCATAGGATCAAACGACATAGGGTAAAACGACCTAGGATCAAACGACAAACGGTGAAAAACGCGACAAAGGGTAAAACGACATATAGGGTCAAAAAGTGTGACAAACGGGCAAAATTTCATTTGGACTATTTTTGGTTAATTTGAACTATTTTTTTTGTTCAGCGCTGGGCCCCCTATCCTGTCCTAGCCGCAGCGCTTGGCCCATAAATTGTCTTAACCTAGCCTAACCCTGAAATAATACATAAAATATTTTTTTCCATTTGACCCTTTGTCGCATTTTTGACCGTTTGTCGTTTGACCCAGTGTATTTTGACCCTGGGTAGTTTTACCCTATGTCGGTGAACCCTTACAAGGTCACAAAGTTGTACCAGTCATGTCGCATTTAAATTTACTTTCTCCTTCAGTCTAGTTTGTAGTGGGGCAGAAGAGATTTCAGTTTCACATGACAGTATACTACAAAGCTATAAGAAGAGCAAATAATTTTACGTGTTTTTAAACTAAAGCGTATAACCACACTAAGAGTTAAGTATTTTAAAAGCATGTTAAGAGATGGAAAAAATTAAAAAATCAGAAGATTGTGATGTGTCATCCAACCTTTGCAGAAAAAGTTTTGATAAAGGCTCATGTTAGGAAATTATAAATTGTATCTATAGATAAAATAAATTGATCTGAAATATTTTTATTGCTGTCAGTCACTCCCTTTCAGGAAATTCACCTCCTCTTAACACCATTTTCTTGCGTCGGTCACTCTCTTTGGGGAAACAGTGACGCTAGGCCTCTGCTTAATACCATTTTCTTGTGTCGGTCACTTCATTAAAGGAAACAGTGACACTAGGCCTCTGCTTAATACTATTTTCTTGTGTTGGTCACTTCATTAAAGGAAACAGTGACACTAGGCCTCTGCTTAATACTATTTTCTTGTGTCGGGCACTTCATTAAAGGAAACAGTAATACTAGGCCTCTGCTTAATACTATTTTCTTGTGTTGGTCACTTCATTAAAGGAAACAGTAATACTAGGCCTCAGCTCTGCTTAATACTTTTTTCTTGTGTCGGTCACTTCATTAAAGGAAACAATAATACTAGGCCTCTGCGTGCACCATTTTCTTGCGTCGGTCACTCCCTTTAAGGAAACAGTAATACTACGCATCTGCTTAACACCATTTTCTTGCGTCGGTCACTTCCTTTAAAAAAACAGTAATACTATTCGCCTCTGCTTAACACCATTTTCTTGCGTCAGTCACATCCTTTAGGAAAACGTTAATACGTTGCCTCTGCTCATTATCATTTTCTCGCCTCGGTCACTCCCTTTATGGAAATTAAGGAAATAAAGTTAAATTAAACCGGACAATTTAATTTATCTAGAGAATCCCCTGTTTAGTTTAATTCTCTGCATCCACCTTCATACAACAATTTTAAATTTGATTAGGGAATATAGCATTCTACACTTTTCAAACATAGCTGTATAGAATATGTATTAAGTTCTACAAGAAATTTATTTGGGCTTTTTTCGAAATTAATTATTCATCAGTTAAAGAAACTTCAGAATTATAAATATCTTAAAAATGAGGGGGGATAAAAAATGAAAGTTTGTTTGCACAATTTAGAGAAAAAACAATTCATTGAATGCTTTTAGATTTTTCTTGCAAGCATGATTTCACGAACCAAAACAAGAGAGAATGAAATAGTTATTCATCAGCTTACAAATGAAAAGGAGTGGAGCACAATGCTTCAGAGGAAGGTGCACTTGTAAACAGAGAATTAAATGATCCGCGCGCGATGGCTTGATTAAATTTCAAATGGCTTCGATTCATGATTGAATTGAAAAATGTTTTGCTTATGTTGAATAGGGATACTAGACTATGTCATGTTTAGGGAGGATTAACTGTAGTTTATATATCTACTCTGAGTTTACTAGACTATGTTATGTTTAGGGAGGATTAACTGTAGTTGATATATATACTCTGAGTTTACTTATAGACTATGTGATGTTTAGGGAGGATTAACTGTAGTTGATATATCTACCCTGAGATGACTAGACTATGTTATGTTTAAGGATGGATTAACTGTAGTAGATATCTACTCTGAGTTTACTAGACTATGTTATGTTTAGGGAGGATTAACTGTAGTTGATATCTACTCTGAATGGGCTGGTCCATGTAATGCAATGGTTGCTTCTCTAAAAAAGATAAAACTTGAGGTATGAAGAATAAAGTTTAATTTCTCCATTATTTTTTCTAACTTTAACTTTGCTAATATATTCTTACGTAGTTATCGGAAATCGACATCTTCTCATTAGATGGTTTTTTTTATATTTAATATACTTTTCCTTTATTTTTCATTTATTCATGTTTTTTTTAACATGAAAAAATTGAATTTTACTGTTTTGTACTGAACTCTACTGTATTTTACTGCACTGTACTTTACTTTACTGTATTTTACTGCACTGAACTGTATTGTACTGTACTGTACAGTACTCTACTCTACTGTACTGTACTGTATTATGTTGTAGTGTACTGTATTTCACTGTACTGGATTATACTGTATTGTACTGTACTTTACTGTACTGTACTGTACTGTACTGTACTGTACTGTACTGTACTGTACTGTACTGTACTGTACTGTACTGTACTGTACTGTACTGTACTGTACTGTACTGTATTATGTTGTAGTGTACTGTATTTCACTGTACTGGATTATACTGTACTGTACTGTACTGTACTGTACTGTACTGTACTGTACTGTACTGTACTGTACTGTACTGTACTGTACTGTACTGTACTGTACTGTTCTGTACTGTACTGTACTGTACTGTACAAGGTTGGAGATGACTCCTTGAATTATGCTATGGCCAGGGTAGATACTATCCCAGCATTACAGATGTTTAGAGAGCACTGTATGCCAACTTGGTTATTCATTGCTTCAGGTAATTTATTACCTTTCCTTTTAGTTGTTTACGATTCACAACGGTACCCTTCGTCTTAGCAAAACTTATTAAGCTATTCTTGTGTTTCTATCTGACAATTGACGTACAAAAAATGATGATGGAAAATCTAAATCATTTGTCCTTTATCATAATTCATGAACAGTCCAATTCAAGAAGTACTGTGGCTGATAAAATATTTGTTAACTGGATCAGATTGAATTAATTATTCTTTGTTTAATTGATTGATTGGTCCTAGGAGAACCGGTCGCTGTAGTGCACGGCTCCAACGCGTCTTTATTAAAGACGATGATTGCCGAACACATGGAACGAGAGAGGAAAATTGCAGCAGGATCCGAATATAGGAAATCAATAGAACTTAGGAAAGCAGTGCCATGTAAGTTGTAAACAAAAAACAAAATAATTGAGTGTTTTCTTAGTTCAGCGCTGCCCATTTCTGTTATAACAATTTAAAATTCAACAACAAAGAAATTGAGTCTTTGCAACAAACTGCAATTTATTATCCCTATATCTTTGCAACCTAATGGTGTACATCAAATTTTAATGTTTTATCTAACAGAATTCATAGTTTGAAATATCTAAGGTCTACTACATTGGGTTGCAAAGAAAATGGAATAATGAAATTCAGAGGTTGACATTTTTGAGTGGAGAAAGTTGGTTGAACTAAAATGATTGGTTTAACTACTTCAGAAATTCAAATTATTTCTGAATATTTGTATTTCTATTTTCAGTAAAAAAGTTTCTGAGTATAGATCTGGAAGATGGTGAAAAAAAGCCGGAGAAAGTAAGAACGGATCCAGAAAAATGTTCTCCGGGAGAACTTCAGAGTTTTGTCCTGGTTCTCCTCAACCACGGAGCCAGGACGGATCTGAACGTTTTTAACAGAATTAAAGAAATATTTCAAGACGAAGGTTTGTGATATATTTAAGATTGAATTATGCAGTTATTGATATTCTGGTAGAAGTAAATTTCATGCTACCTGATACTGGGCGGATACAGGGGGGGCGGCAGGACCTTCGCACCCCCCTGAGATTTCAGAATAGCTTCTCAATAGCACTAAAGGGAAAGAAAACCTAGTGCAAAACAGGAAAGTCAAAAAGAATTCGCCTTCGTAAATCTGGATTTTTTGTTCCAAAATAAATCTAGCTCCGCCCCTGTACCTGATCTTTCTGTAGAGAAAAATGAAAAAAAAAACTGTTTCCAAGTTAATCTGAAAATTCCTCGTTCTGATTCCAAGTATAATTTAAACAACAGGCATCAACCAATCCACCCTTTTCTTTTCCGCGAACACTCCCTTTCAAAGGGAAACCTTTGAAATGTTTATGTTTAGGAATATTATTTACTGAAGAACTAGTTCTGGAGTTCCGACATGAGGATTTCTTGGATTACGAATTACCAGAAGCAGAGTGTGATGCTCTAGCTGGAGAAAAATATTGTTTATTAAAACTAAGGAAATGTTTATGATTTAAAACAATGACTTTATTATTTTTCAAAGCTGACTGGAATTTCTGAGATGCATACTTCATACCTTAAAGAGACTGTTGTTGTAAATCTAAGTGACTCTACATTTTAAAAAAAGAGGGGCTTGCCCGATTCACAACAGGGCCTTTATCTAATTGTAATTTTTATGCAGCTTGATATAAAGAGTGTTTAATCCTCACAATTTTCTCCATTTTTTCTGTAACAAGAGATTCGCAAGTAACAAGAAACCACAATTGAAAATAATCAATTCTTTAAGAGAGATCAGTCCCTTTAAAGGGAGTGTTCGCGAAAAATGAAAGGGGGTATAGGCTTAATGCGATAAAAAAGCGCTTATGATCGCTGCTAATCTTACTTCTATCTGTTGCATCTATAAGGAGAAAATTGTTAAAGACGTCTCATACCGAATAACTTAGCGCCCATACAAATTCAGAAAATTGCAACATACGACTTAGACCGTAAAAAAATCAATTTAATTCCAAACAAATCATTCAGATATTACAACCTATAGTCATCGATTATCTTTCAGAATTAAATTGATTTTTTTACGGTCTAAGTCGTATGTTGCAATTTTCTGAATTTGTATGGGCGCTAAGTTATTCGGTATGAGACGTCTTTAACAATTTTCTCCTTATAGACGCAACAGATAGAATTAAAATTAGTAGCGATCAATAGCGCTTTTTTATCGCATTAAGCCTATACCCCCTTTCATTTTTCGTGAACACTCCCTTTAAGTTGAGAAACTGCGACCAAAATTATCCAAAAAAAAATCATGAACTTAATCTAGGAAAAATACCTCCAAGGCTAACCAAGATTCTCCCTTGGAGGAAATTATTGCCAATATCCCAGATCTGACGAATATATATTTTAAACCTGAGAACGTAATCTTGAGAATTGTCTCTGGGTTGCTGGAAGCTCCGCATCAGCTGATCGTGTTTATTAGCTCGGAGAACTGGAACAGTATTAGCACCAGAGCAGAGCAAAACAACATAATCGTCCTTGCTCGCAGACGAAGGTAGGAACCCAGATTTGTTAAACAACTTTATGAAAAAAAAATATGGAAATTAAAGATTCAACATTATTTACTAAAAGTTTTGATTTCGATTGTGAAGGTTTAAAGGTTACTTAAGTGAAGAATTTATGATTTAAGCATAATTCGACCTATTTTATTCTATATATTTGTTCCATCATCAAATAAACTGAGTACTTAAACTCTTATTTTATAATTCTCACATCTAGCTTTGTAGATATTTAATTGTTCGCACTATGAATTCTGCAATTGATAAAATAGTCAAAATATCATAGGTTTACGTCGTCAGGTTGCAATGATATAGGAATTAGAATACAAAATTTGTGGTAAAAAGACGGTTTCTTTGTATTTGCTTTTAGAGCTGGGGATACCTGGGACCTGGAGATTGAAGATGAAAAGGTTTCAAGTAAGCTAGAGATATCGGAGATTATCCTGCTCCTGGCAGGACGAGAACAGGATCTTGTTCATCTTCAGAACATGGAACAACAAAACCAAACCGTCGTTAACAAGGCGGAAAATTCAGACGATCCGATCGACACCGATCATTTAGATATTCCGGAAATCCCGGAAAATGTTTCTGAAATCCCTATTAGAGAAACTCAAATCAATGATTTAATGAACCCTTCGGAAAATTCAAAGAATCTCAGGAATGTTTCAAAAGATTCAGAGATCGAAGATTTATCGGGGCAGGTTTCTAATGATGTTCTTGAGAACCTGAATGATAGGCAAAATGACAAAATTTCTGAAAAAGATATTGGAGCTTCTGAAGAGAATACGGATACACCAGAAGCCGATGATACAGACAAAACTATGGAGGTTGACGTATCTGACGCTGAAAATGAAAACCAGAATTCCAGTTTAGATTATTCACTAATTCTTTATTCTATTCTAGCTCCGCCTTTAGATATGATAAACTTAATCTTTCCTGAACTGTATTAGTAATAAAAGATTAGGAGTTCAATAATACACATTTTGTTCAGATATCAGATTAAAATTCAATATTCGTATAGTATATTAGTATATTAGTATATTAGTATATTAGTATATTAGTATATTAGTATATTAGTATATTAGTATATTAGTATATTAGTAACAAAACAGATATCCAAAACAGATATCCAAAACAGATATTCAAAACAGATATCCAAAACAGATATCCAAAACAGATATCCAAAACAAATATCCAAACAGATATCCAAAACAGATATCCAAAACGACAACCTCATAACCATCAACTCACATAAAAATATATTCAGTACACAATCTGAAAAAAAACTTCCTTTTGAACTTTCCAATAACTTAAAAAAATATGTATAAAAAGCTTAAAAGTATGTTATTTTTAAACTACATTTTTTATTAATTTAACCCAAACTTTTTTAGTTTGGAATATGCGGGGAATATAACAGGTTGTATTTCAATTAGGGAAATTAATTTCTATTTTTATTCTTAGAAATTAAATAATGGAAAACTGAAAACTAATTTGTTCATAAATTAATCAATGCAAGGGGAAATACCATCATTATAGTTTTAACAACTAATTTTGATCATTATACGGATATATCATTGATTGCATTCTACGAAGTTTGTAACAAATAAAAGATTGGGATATCTCCCTTAATCGAAACTTTCGTCGAAAATTGAGATTTAACCCATTAGGTTAGTAAATATTAAATATATCAGCGTATACTTATTCCTTATGAAGAGAGAACAATTTAAAATCATATTTGTATTAAAATTTAAACGTTCATGTCTCTACAAAAGTCATGAAGATTTAAATTTAATCAATCTATTGTAGTGAAATGCATTTCTTTTTGTTAAAGATTCTCTTTAATTTAAAAAGATGTGTTCCCAGAACCTCTGTTGGAAATGCAGCAAGATAATTAAAATGAATAAAAAATGCAGAAAAATAAATATTGAAAACACTTTTTTTTGGTTAGCAGTGCTATCATGGTTTTGGACAGAATTTTTAAAAACTATTTTATATTTTAAAAAGTCTTAAACTATAGTTTTCGGTAATTTAAACACCATTTCAGCTTAAATTAATGTCAATCATATTGATGACGTCATGATTAAAAAAAATTTTAACTGAAAAATGTTCCTATTCTGCAAGATATAAGATTGTATGAAAACGGGTTTGTGACTGATACTTACTCCCCCCTCCCCCCTGCCCCCAATATCTTACCCCTGCCGACAAATTAATAGAATAAAGTTTACCTAGAAAAGTAAAAATAGATGTACTTTCTATATATTTGAGTCAATAATTAACTAAAAACTTTCAAACTTAATCGAACACTTTGTTTGTTTTGTGGTAAAGTTCTAAAATACATTAAGTTGTTCAAATAAACCAGTTTGGATTCATACAAAAAAAAACTAAAAGAGTTTTTTGATTTCAGAATTGAGATTTTTATGTCGTATTGGAAATTGCGATTTTGTTTTATTCTGAAATTGAAATCTATTCTAAGAAAGAAATTGAGACTTTGTCACAAACCCTTCCTATATCTTTGCAACCGTCGAAGTTTAATAATGGAAAACACTTCTTCATTTATTTTTTAATGCACTAAGATAGACAGAAAAATCTGCAAAGAATTATAAGCGATTAAAAACTTTCAGAGCAACGGTTAAAATTGTTAAAATAAAGCCTTTTATTTTATATTTCTAATATTTTCATTCAATTTCGGGATTCTTAATAAAGTAGTAAAGTGATCTTAACAGCCTTCAGCAATTTTATAGGAATTAGAAATAAATCTTAATTTCAATGATTAATTTCAACATTTTATTTGGCAGTTTGATTAAAATAACTGCTGTCAACTGTAACAGCTAGAATTTAGAATGCTTGAAATAACTGCTGTTATCTGTGACAGCTAGAATTTATAATGCTTGAAATAACTGCTGTCAACTGTGACAGCTAGAATTAATAGTGCTGTAAATAACTGCTGTGAACTGTGACAACTAGAATTTGCATTGCTTTACATAACTGCTGTGAGCTGTGACAGCTAGAATTTATATTGCTTGAAATAACTACTGTCAACTGTAACAGCTAGAATTTACATTGCTTGAAATAACTGCTGTCAACTGTGACAGCTAGAATTAATAGTGCTGTAAATAACTGCTGTGAACTGTGACAGCTAGAATTTACATTTCTTGAAATAACTGCTGTCAACTGTGACAGCTAGAATTTAAATTGCTTGAAATAACTACTGTCAACTGTGAAAGCTAGAATTTGCATTGCTTTACATAACTGCTGTGAGCTGTGACAGCTAGAATTTATATTGCTTGAAATAACTACTGTCAACTGTGAAAGCTAGAATTTACATTTCTTGAAATAACTGCTGTGAGCTGTAACAGCTAGAATTTACATTTCTTGAAATAACTGCTGTCAACTGTGACAGCTGCTGTATTTTCTCTCCTTTTCTCCAATTTATGAACCAAAAGCTTAAACCTGAACACACAATTTTTCAAACAAAGTTATTTTGGGAAAAAAGTGAATATTTGCCACAAACTCAAATTTTATAATCCTATATCTTCGCAACCTGATTGTGTAAACCTTTGTCTGCGGCATTGGATTGAAAAGATATAGGGATTAGAAACTTAGATTGTGTGGCAAAGACTCAATTCCTTTCGTAGTTTTAATGATAAATGTAAAGAAATTGAGAAGTTATTCTAACCTGTTTGAATTATCTAAAACCTCGATTGTATCTGTCCCCCAATCTCCTCCTCCAATCACTGCAACCCGTCCTGCTATGCGTCCAACTCCGGGTCTCCAACGACGAGGTTCCTCCAGGTTTGCTATAACCTCTAAGAACGGAGCTCCGGGTCTCTGTAGAGGAACCCAGGAGAGTTTTCTACCTCCTTCCCATACTCCACCAGCCAGTAATAATCCTTCCTGTACACAAGTTGAACACTTGATACAATCTCTTACTTTTAATCCTAGACCTTAGACCGTAGATATTTTAAACTTCAATAATTCTGCTACAGAGGTAGACGATTATATCAGTACAATGAAGACGACTGTTTTATTTAAATTTAGCTATTCTTGACTTCTCTGTTTATGTGTATTCATGCTGTTTAACCGCTTGATATAAAATAAAAATTTTAATCGAAAGTCGGCTTGATTATATTGATATAATCACCTACAAATGTGGATCAATTAGTTAAAGTTTGAAATATGAAAGATTTTCACCATCAGATTGCACAAATATAAAGATTAGAAAATTATTGATTAGTGTTCGGGTTCATTGACGTTGAATAACGCAAACCAAAGGACTTACGGTCGCTATTTGGTCGTTTTTAGACCGTTAGTCGTTATATAAAGAAAACAGGATAGTACCGTTTTCTGAAAGGAAGTCTAGTCATACAAATCTGTGAAATAGATATTTATTTTGAGTTTGGGGTATTTTGTCAAATTGTCTGTTGGTAGTTTCTTGATCGCAGGTTCTTTCCATCTGCATCACCTTCCATTTCCGTTGAATTTCTAAAACCACCATCATTCAGGGGAATTTTCCATTAAATTTCAAAACTTCCATTATTTAATTATTTTGAAAAAAAAACTTCTATTCCTTAGCGTAGTTTTCCGTTAAATCCGTTCATTAACGGATTTTTGCCCAACTCTAGATGATAGATACCTCTCCATTTATTTCTGATACTGCGCAACCTTGTCCAACCATCTTCTCTTCAGGACGTAGAGACTCCACACCTAAACATTATTCTACTGTAGATCCTTCTTATTCAACCATCTTCTACTCAGGACGTAGAGTCTCCACACCTAAACATTATTCTACTATAGATCCTTCTTATCCAACCATCTTCCCCTCAGGACGTAGAGACTCCACACCTAAACATTATTCTAC